CTCCCATCTCCACAGAGGAACTCTGGAGCTCTGTCAGAGTGACGATTGGGTTCTTGGTCACCTCCCTGACCAATGCCCTTCTCCCTCGATTGCTCAGTTTGGCCGGGCAACCAGCTCTAGGAAGAGTCTTGGTGGTTCCAAACTTCTTCCATTTAAGACTGATGGAGGCCACTGTGTTCTTGGGGACCTTCAATGCTGCAGAATTTTTTGGTACCCTTGACACAATCCTGTCTCGGAGTTCTACGGACATTTCCTTTGACCTCATGGCTTAGTTTTTGCTCTGACATGCACTGTCAACTGTGGGACCTTATATAGACAGGTGTGTGCCTTTCCAAATCATGTCCAATCAATTGAATTTACCACAGGTGGACTCCAATCAAGTTGTAGAAACATCTCAAGGATGATCAATGGAAACAGGATGCACCTGATCTCAATTTCAAGTCTCATAACAAAGGGTCTGAATACTTATGTAAATAAGGTATTTCTGATTTTTGTCTAAAAAAATGTCTAAAAACCTGTTTTCGCTTTTTCATTATGGGGTATTGTGTGTAGATTGATGATAAAAAAATTTTTTAAATCAATTTTAGAATAAGGCTCTAACGTAACAAAATGTGGAAAAAGTGATAGGACCTGAATACTTTCCGAATGCACTTAAAATCATGGCAAATTGGTTCCTGTTTCAGTCATGTCTTTGGTCACGTTCGCATGGGTAAAACAAAAACATCCTAATGATTGGTTGAAAATAGAGCCTCCCACAATGCAGGCGATGGCTGAAGGATGAAGAACAACTGCAGAAACTTGCTCTCGACTGCAGTCAAAACTTCATGACCTCTGATCACGTGATTTTTTAAAAGATAATGCAGTCGACCTGTAGGCGCAAGTCAGAAAATGTGTATTCCCAGAAAGCAACACACTTTGAAAGGCATGACCAACAATGGTCACCGACTTGGAGACCAGACCACTGAGCACTGCCACCGACGCGGTTCCACAGAGATGAGAGAGAGAGAGGGAAGATGGCGGAAACGGATGTTCTGTTGGAAACTGATGGTGAGTCGGGTGAAGAAGAGAGAGAACCACTGGGTTGCAGTGGTGAAAAAGAAAGGAAACAAAAGAAGTAAAGTTGTGATGGAAACTAAGAAATCTCTAGATTTGTTTATAGTCGGAGTGAGGGTTTTGGATCAATGTTACCTGGGGGATCCGTTTTGAAGTCACAAGGAGCATAATGGATGCATTGGGTGAGGTGGCATCAGCATAATGGATGCATTGGGTGAGGTGGCATCAGCATAATGGATGCATTGGGTGAGGTGGCATCAGCATAATGGATGCATTGGGTGAGGTGGCATCAGCATAATGGATGCATTGGGTGAGGTGGCATCAGCATAATGGATGCATTGGGTGAGGTGGCATCAGCATAATGGATGCATTGGGTGAGGTGGCGTCGGTGAGAGTCACAAGAGCTGGTCTTATTCCGTTGTTTTGTGTGTCCGTGGAACAGAAGAACCTTTAAGCTTTGAGCCTCAAAATTATTTTGGAATGGAACGTTTTGTGCATGGATTTCCGAAGCAGGGCGTCTGTCAAGGGGATTATTTCTGGGGCTGCGCATGAAGTGGATGCAAATGATATACCTGAGGAAGTAGGTGAAGTGATTGATGCGCGTCGACTGACCTGTATGGTGAATGAAGTAAGGAAACTAACTTCGTCCATATTATAGTTTTTTTATGAGTCTCTCTCTTCCCATGCAAAGCTAGGCTTTATGAGATACCCTGTAAGAGCTTTTGTGCACAAGCCCCTCCAGTGTTATAAATGCAAAAATATTTGGGGATGTATCAAGTGTATGCAGACTGGAAGAATATTGTATGGCAGCTGAGGTTATATGCTGCAACTGTGGTGGTAAATTATTGCGAGTGCAGCAGAACCCTTTTTGGGACTCAGTGAGTTTACAGCCGAGGCATTGCAAGAAATCCCGTCAAAGGATGTTCCGCCCTCACCGGCCTCTGAGCATGTGTAGGGATGTGACTTGAATTGGAATGTGACTGAAGGAGTCTGATGGGTTTTTTTTATGTGTCTATTTTTGTTTTTATCTTACCACCCGTAGAGTAGGTGGCGGCATGCACCTCTAAGGTTTTTTTTTTTTAGGGGGGGTAGATCAGCTTAATATTGTAGATAGATTGTAATTTCCATCAATGTAATTGTCTACATCACTTCCAATCCCCCATGTTTTTATTTATATATATATATATACATACATACATACATACATACATACATACATATACACATACATACATACATACACACACATACATATCCTTTAAAAAATATATATATTCCCCTTTATTACTTTCCAACCCCACCACCCTTTCCCTACTTGGAGTAAACTAGTGAACAACAATGCTTAGGCCTCTACTTCCAGCTTATACCTACCATCTACATTTTATGGACACAGTCCATTTTACAATAATTCTATTTTGTTTGTTTTTTCTCCTGAACTTCCTCTACTCTCAACCTCTCAGATCATTTTTCATGATGTCCATCCGGTTTGCTTCTATATGCCATATCTTTCTAACTGTGCTCTTTCACAAAAGCTCCCAACCTACAACCTATATACTTATTATGGACACAGTATGCTTACATTATTAGTTATCTTGTTATTATTTGTTGTTAGTTGTTATTAGTCCCATCCTTCAATTCCATTCAACACCTCTAACGCTTGTTTGCGGACCGCCATAATACCATAGAAGAAGAAGAAGAAGAAGAAGAAGAAGAAGAAGGTCACCAACTTGACAAAAGTGATCCACTCGAACATACCCATTAAGATGAGCAGATGCAAGACTTTGCTCTCACACAGTCACACAGAGTGTCTGCACGTGTGCTCTTCACTCTGCTACAACGTGGACCAAAACAGCAGAGAGGTTTAGCCTAGCGCTTCAATGCTCCTGAGGCGTATAATACAAAGTAAGATCAGAGATTTAGCCAGCTAACTTCCCAGAATATTCTGAAATAACAATACATTTTTTAAGCGGATAAGCATGATCTAATTGACTCAACAACCAAAAACATATATTTAAGGTGAGATTTCTTAATGAACCAGAAAATCTATAGTTATTTCTGGTTGTTTATCAAAGTTAGCTTGCTAACTCGTTGATCCTGCTTTGTAGTATACCCCTCTGGTTGTTGGGGAAATTGACCCAGCACTACTGTTAACTTCGTGCATCTACTTCATCTCGCTGAGTTTACCTTTAAAGGTAAACTCTCGCTGAGTTTGTCCTCCTGAGTGGCGCAGTGGTCTAAGGCACTGCATCGCAGTGCTAACTGTGCCACTAGAGATCCTGGTTCGAATCCAGGCTCTGTCGCAGCCGGCCGCGACCGGGAGACTCATGGGCGGCGCACAATTGGCCCAGCGTCGTCCAGGGTAGGGGAGGGAATGGCCGGCAGGGATGTAGCTCAGTTGATAGAGCATGGCGTTTGCAACGCCAGGGTTGTGGGTTCAATTCCGACGGGGGGCCAGTATAAAAAAAATATGTATTCACTAACTGTAAGTCGCTCTGGATAAGAGCGTCTGCTAAATGACTAAAATGTAAAATGTAAATGTAAAGCTGGAATCCTCAATGGTGAAACAGCCACGGCCGTTTGCAATATTACAACAACAAAGAAGTTACTGCAAACAACCAACCATGGTGCGCGACGTCTCCTCAGCTCGGCAACAAAAACAATAACAACGATAGTGGGGCGGTTGTGGTGCTGTTGCCGCCTACTGTGGGATCCATCTTTAAAACTAACCTAACCTTATGTATTACTGCCCCCCAGTGGCAAGAAGTGGCATCCCCAAAAACACAAACTATACAACACATTTAAAAAAATCCCACGCATAGGCTACTTTCTGTCCCTAACAGTAAAACTAAAACTGAAACGAAATAATATAAAAATGAAATATAAATGTTTTATAAAACTTAAACTAAAGAAAAAATTGTAAAGTGGATTTGAAAACTAACTGAATCAAACTGAATTTGTTAAAAAAATATTTAAACTAATAGAAATAAAAACGAATATAAAAACACAAAAGTATTATAACCTTGGTGTGAATTTTATAAATTAATCACTATAAATGACAGGTTAATACATTTAAATGTTATCTCTCTCTCTTTCTTTTTTCCCCTTCTAATGACACAGACCGAAACCAAAAGAAAAGTCCAAGATCTCCTCAGCCCGACGGTTGGGGTTAAAGGTGAGCGTTGCATTCCATTGTCAACACAAGAAACAAACAAGTAGTCTTACACTTGCGACATGAATGTTATATAAACAGAATGCATGCCATAATGTGTTGCGCATGTGTAGCTCACGAACCCTGACCTCGTAACCTTTTTTGCCTCTTTTGGATGTAAATGGTCCTATAGATCAGATAGACTCTAGCTTTATGCTCCTTCCTAAAGATCAGAAGTTACCAGATTGCTGACTCTAGCTTTATTCTCCTATAGATCAAATTGCTGACTGTAGCTTTATTCTCCTATAGATCAGATTGCTGACTGTAGCTTTATTCTCCTATAGATCAGATTGCTGACCGTAGCGTTATTCTCCTATAGATCAGATTGCTGACTGTAGCTTTATTCTCCTATAGATCAGATTGCTGACTGTAGCTTTATTCTCCTATAGATCAGATTGCTGACTGTAGCTTTATTCTCCTATAGATCAGATTGCTGACTGTAGCTTTATTCTCCTATAGATCAGATTGCTGACTGTAGCTTTATTCTCCTATAGGTCAGATTGCTGACTGTAGCGTTATTCTCCTATAGATCAGATTGCTGACCGTAGCGTTATTCTCCTATAGATCAGATTGCTGACCGTAGCGTTATTCTCCTATAGATCAGATTGCTGACTGTAGCTTTATTCTCCTATAGATCAGATTGCTGACTGTAGCTTTATTCTCCTATAGATCAGATTGCTGACTGTAGCTTTATTCTCCTATAGATCAGATTGCTGACTGTAGCTTTATTCTCCTATAGATCAGATTGCTGACTGTAGCTGGCCAGATGCTAGAGGTTGAGGTGGAGGAGAAGAAGAGAGAAAGAGATGAAGCTCTGGCTGAGAGAGTCCCTCCTCTCAAACTTTCTGGCTTGTCTGTGGAGGAGCTCCAGGTACACACTGATGCTCACACTGACATTGTATACAAAACTGTTATGAGTGCATTTATAACGACATATGAGCCGTCCATAATGCATTATAATGCACGACACAGTTTGAAATTCCTTACAGAAAGTGTAACAAAATAAAATAAGATAAATTAGCTGTCTTTTGTTCTCTTGGCAGGATTTGTGCAAAGATCTGCACCATAAGATCAATGTGGTAGATGAGGAGCGATATGACGTGGGACTCAAAGTTACCAAAAATGACAAGGAGGTAGGATACCCCAAAATAATTTGTAGAAAACAAATAATTCCAGAGGGAAATGACAAAAGATAGTTTAAATGTTTTATAGATTATTGTATATAAGGTATAGTGTGCAGCTATGATATCATAAAATGATTGCAATATTCCTCTAACACGTGAATCACTTCTACTTCTATCAGTCCAACCTGCACCTTTTTTGAACGCTTGGACCGTATATTTCAAGATGACACTGTCAAAACACTGCCTCCCGGTGGTTATGAGTTTAGAACATACATTTAGAGTGAAGGTCGGCAGGTAGCTTAGTGGGTAAGAGCGTTGTGCCAGTAACCGAAAGGTGGTTCTAATCCCCGAGCCGACTAGGTGAAAAATCTGTCGATGTGCCCGTAAGCAAGGCACTTAAACCCTAATTGCTCCTGTAAGTCGCTCTGGATAAGAGCGTCTGCTAAATGACTAAAAATAATAATAATAGGTCAGCCACAGTACATACTAGTTACTGCACAACTGGGAGGACTAAGTGTGCAAATTGGACTGATAGAAATATAGGCCCTGGTCAAAGGTAGTACACTATAAAGGGAATAGGATGCCATTTAAGACATATATAATGTCAATGATCACAGTTAATGTGAGAGCCTGTATTGGAGCTGAAAGTTACTAATCCTGCTTACTGTGATACGTGGTCGTCTCTCTCTTAGCTACTCTACAGGAAAAATACACTCAAAAACTAACTTTTGGTATTTTTCTTAATTAGTCCACTGTTAATACAGTCCAAAAAATGTTTTGCATGTCAGCAGTCAAGTTTTCAAGATATTGGACTTTCAAGAAGCAAAGTGTCACTTCCCACATCATCATGATGATATGGCAAGTGACACATCTTTAAAACTTGACTGATGACATGCAAAACATTTTGAGACTGTATCAACAGTGGACTAATGAAAAAAAAATACCACAAAATAGTTTTTTGGGGTGGATTTTTCCTTTAAGATGAATGCACTAATAAGAGTCACTCTGGATAAGAGCCTCTGCTAAATGTCTAGAATGTAAATGTAAAATGTCCTCTGTTCTTTGTGCTCTGCCAGATCCATGAGTTGGGACTAAAGATCATTGAGCTGCAGAGCAAGTTCAAGAAACCAAACCTGAGGAGGGTGAAGATCTCAGCTGAAGCCATGCTTAGTGTTCTGCTGGGCTCCAAGCATAAGGAGACCATCGACTTCAAGTCCAACCTCAAGACAGTCAAGAAGGCAGAGGAGAAAGTAAGACTGGTGCATGCTCAGCCTGTTGTACTTGACGTTGTACAACATTTAACATTTAATTAAGTCATTTAGCAGATGCTCTTATCCAGAGCGACTTACAAATTGGTGCATTCAACTTAGGATAGCCAGTGGGACAACCACCACTGGGGGGGGGGGGGGGGGGTGTAGAAGGATTACTGTTATACTATTCCAGGTATTCCTTAAAGAGGTAGGGTTTCAAGTGTCTCCGGAAGGTGGTCAGTGACTCCGCTGTCCTGGCGTCGTGGGGGAGCTTGTTCCACCATTGGTGTGCCAGAGCAGCGAATAACTTTGACTGGGCTGAGCGGGAACTGTGCTTCCGTAGAGGTAGGGGGGCTAGCAGGCCAGAGGTGGATGAACGTAGTGCCCTTGTTTGGGTGTAGGGTCTGATCAGAGCCTGAAGGTAAGGAGGTGCCGTTCCCCTCACAGCTCCGTAGGCAAGCACCATGGTTTTGTAGTAGATGCGAGCTTCAACTGGAAGCCAGTGGAGTGTGCGGAGGAGCGGGGTGACATGAGAGAACTTGGGAAGGTTGAACACCAGACAGGCTGCAGCATTCTGGATAAGTTGTAGGGGTTTAATGGCACAGGCAGGGAGCCCAGCCAACAGCGAGTTGCAGTAATCCAGACGGGAGATGACAAGTGCCTGGATTAGGACCTGTGCCGCTTTCTGTGTAAAGTAGGGTCGTACTCTGCGAATGTTGTAGAGCATGAACCTGCAGGATTGGGTCACCGCTTTGATGTTAGCGGAGAACGACAGGGTGTTGTCCAGGGTCACGTCAAGGTTCTTTGCACTCTGGGAGGAGGACACAATGGAGTTGTCAACCGTGATGGCGAGATCATGGAGCGGGCAGTCCTTCCCCGGGAGGAAGAGCAGCTCCGTCTTGCCGAGGTTCAGCTTGAGGTGGTGATCTGACATCCACACTGATATGTCTGCCAGACATGCAGAGATGCAATTCGCCACCTGGTTATCAGAAGGGGGAAAGGAGAAAATGTATTGTGTGTCGTCTGCGTAGCAATGATAGGAGAGACCATGTGAGGATATGACAGAGCCAAGTGACTTGGTGTATAGAGAGAATATGAGAGGGCCTAGAACTGAGCCCTGGGGGACACCAGTGGTGAGAGCACGTGGTGTGGAGACAGATTCTCGCCACGCCACCTGGTAGGAGCGACCTGTCAGGTAGGACGCAATCCAAGAGTGAGCAGCGCCGGAGATGCCCAACTTGGAGAGGGTGGAGAGGAGGATCTGGTGGTTCACAGTATCAAAGGCAGCAGATAGGTCTAGAAGGATAAGAGCAGGGGAGAGAGAGTTAGCTTTAGCAGTGCGGAGAGCCTCCGTGACACAGAGAAGAGCAGTCTCAGTTGAATGACCAGTCTTGAAACCTGACTGGTTTGGATCAAGAAGGTAATTCTGAGAGAGATAGCAGGAGAGTTGGCTAGAGACGGCACGCTCAAGAGTTTTGGAGAGAAAAGAAAGAAGGGATACTGGTCTGTAGTTGTTGACATCGGAGGGATCGAGTGTAGGTTTTTTGAGGAGGGGTGTAACTCTCGCTCTCTTGAAGACGGAAGGGACATAGCCAGCGGTCAAGGATGAGTTGATGAGCGAGGTGAGGTAAGGGAGAAGGTCTCCGGAAATGGTCTGGAGAAGAGAGGAGGGGATAGGGTCAAGCGGGCAGGTTGTTGGGCGGCCGGCCATCACAAGTCGCAAGATTTCATCTGGAGAGAGAGGGGAGAAAGAAGTCAAAGCATAGGGTAGGGCAGTGTGAGCAGGACCAGGATCTCTGCAGGACCAGCGGTGTCATTTGACTTAATAAATGAGGATCAGATGTCGTCAACCTTCTTTTCAAAATGGTTGACGAAGTCATCCACAGAGAGGGAGGAGGGAGGGGGAGGAGGAGGAGGATTCAGCAGGGAGGAGAAGGTGGCAGAGAGCTTCCTAGGGTTAGAGGCAGATGCTTGACATTTAGAGTGGTAGAAAGTGGCTTTAGCAGCAGAAACAGAGGAAGAAAATGTAGAGAGGAGGGAGTGAAAAGATGACAGGTCCGCAGGGAGTCTAGTTTTCCTCAATTGCCTGGAGCCCTGTTCTGTGAGCTTGCAATGAGTCGTCAAGCCAAGGAGCAGGAGGGGAGGACCGAGCCGGCCGGGAGGATAGGGGACTTAGAGAGTCAAAAGATGTAGAAAGGGAGGAGAGGAGGGTTGAGGAGGCATAATCAGGAGATCGGAGGGAGAAGGATTTAGCAGAGGGAAGAGAAGATAGGATGGAAGAGGAGAGAGTAGCGGGAGAGCGAGAGCGAAGGTTGCGACGGCACATTACCATCTGAGTAGGGGCAGAGTGAGTAGTGTTGGAGGAGAGCGAGAGAGAAAAGGATACAAAGTAGTGGTCGGAGACTTGGAGGGGAGTTGCAGTGAGATTAGTAGAAGAACAGCATCTAGTAAAGATGAGGTCAAGCATATTGCCTGCCTTGTGAGTAGGGGGGGACGGTGAGAGGGTGAGGTCAAAAGAGGAAAGGAGTGGAAAGAAGGAGGCAGAGAGAAATGAGTCAAAGGCAGACGTAGGGAGGTTAAAGTCACCCAGAACTGTGAGGGGTGAGCCATCCTCAGGAAAGGAACTTATCAAGGCGTCAAGCTCATTGATGAACTCTCCAAGGGAACCTGGAGGGCGATAAATGATAAGGATGTTAAGCTTGAATGGGCTAGTGACTGTGACAGCATGGAATTCAAATGAGGAGTTAGACAGATGGGTCAGGGGGAAAAGAGAGAATGTCCACTTGGGAGAGATGAGGATTCCTGTGCCACCGCCGCGCTGACCAGATGCTCTCGGGTATGTGAGAACACATGATCAGACGAGGAAAGAGCAGTAGGAGTAGCAGTGTTTTCTGTGGTAATCCATGTTTCCGTCAGCGCCAAGAAGTTCGAGGGACTGGAGGGTAGCATAGGCTGAGATGAACTCTGCCTTGTTGGCGGCAGAATGGCAGTTCCAGAAGCTGCTGGAGACCTGGAACTCCACGTGGGTCGTGCGCGCAGGGACCACCAGATTAGAGTGGCAGCAGCCACGTGGTGTGAAGCGTTTGTATGGCCTGTGTAGAGATGAGAGAACAGGGATAGACAGACACATAGTTGACAGGCTACAGAAAAGGCTACAATAATGCAAAAGAGATCGGAATAAAATTAACTAAACATCTGGGGAAGCGAGAGAGCGGGGCCTCCCTCACTTACCTTTTACTGAAACACTCAAATATAACTCTCCCAACTTCCACTTTAGAAATTATAATTGTTGTAAACTACAGCGGTTCAATGTTTTCTGGGAATATACTCTAACTTAGTTTATTCAGCTAGCTAACTTGGTACAGTATTCTTCCGTGAAAACCGCCCAGGGCACCGTATCCTATGACGCCATAGCTAACTAGCATGCTAGCATCCAATAACACACGGTTTAGCACCAATACTTGGTTACAACAAACTACCAATAGTGTGTTAACACACTAAACAGATAATTCGTGTCCGTGTCTAGTTCCTTTCATAACGCAGAAATAATTAAACGTTGGCTAGCTAGCACAATGTCAGTCATGCTAGCTACACAAGTGGACTACACATCTCGAATGTTCCGAAATTGAAGTTTTACGTTGCAAAATTCTCATTGACTAAAATGATATTGTATTTAGTTGTTACAGTACTGCTAGCTGGTAGTGTTGGCTAGCTAGCAATGGCTGCGGTGTTGACTTTGTTTGTCAATGATTGATTGAGTGTAAATAATACATTTCTGGTCCACACAGAAGGAAGAGGTCACCGACTGGCGTCAAAATGTGGATGCCATGTCTGGCATGGAGGGCAGAAAGAAGATGTTTGATGCTTGAAAGGTACACAAAACGTTATCTGTACTGAGAAGATCAATTCCAGCATTCAATGTGCAGAGCCTTCAGAATGAATTCATACCCCTATTGTTGTGTTACAGCCTGAATTCAAAATAGATTAAATATATATTTTTTCTGACCCATCTACACACGATACCCCATAATGACAAAGTAAAAAAATGTTTTTAGACATTTTTGCAAATGTATTGAAAATGAAATACAGAAATATCTCATTTACATAAGTATTTACACTCCAGAGTCAATACTTGTTAGAATCACCTTTGGCAGCGATTACAGCTGTGAGTCTTTCTGGGTAAGTCTCTAAGAGCTTTGCACACACGGATTGTACAATATTTGCAGATTATTCCTTTTAAAATTCTTCAAGCTCTGTCAAGTTGGTTGTTGATCATTGCTAGACAGACATTTTCAAGTCTTGTCTTAGATTTTCAAGCCAATTTAAGTCAAAACTGTAACTAGGCCTCTCAGGAACATTCAATGTCGTTTTGGTAAGCAACTCCAGTGTATATTTGGCTTTGTGTTTTAGGTTATTGTCCTGCTGAAAGGTGAATTTGTCTCCCAATGTCTGTTGGAAAGCAGACTGAACCAGATTTCCTCTAGGATTTTGCCTGTGCTTAGCTCTATTCCATTTCATTTTATTTTTAAAAAAAAAACTCCCTAGTCCTTGCCGATGAGAAACCATACCCATAACATGATGCAGCCACCACCATGCTTGAAAATATGAAGAATGGTACTCAGTGATGTGTTGTGTTGGATTTGCCCCGCAGATTTACAATAAAGTAAATTTCTTTGCCACATTTTTTGCGGTTTTACTTTAGTGCCTTATTGCAAACAAGATGTATGTTTTTGGAATATTTTTATTTTGTACAGGCTTCCTTCTTTTCACTTTGTCAATTAGGTTAGTATTGTGGAGTAACTACAATGTTGTTGATCCATCCTCAGTTTTATCCTATCACAGCCATTAAACTCTGTAACTGTTTTAAAATCACCATTGGCCTCATGGTTAAATCCCTGAGTAGTTTCCTTCCTCTCCGGCAACTAAGTTAGGAAGGACGCCTGTATCTTTGTAGTGACTATGTGTATTGATACACCATCCAAAGTGTAATTCATAATTTACCATGCTCAAAGAGATATTCAAAATCATTCTTTTTTTTTTTTTACCAATCTACCAATAGGTGCCCTTCTTTGTGAGGCATTGGAAAACCTCCATGGTCTTTGTGGTTGAATCTGTTTGAAATTCACTGCTCGACTGAGGGACCTTACAGATAATTATATGTGTGTACATAGTACAGAGATGAGGTAGTCATTCAAAAATCATGTTATGCACTATTATTGCACACAGAGTCCATGCAACTTATTATGTGACTTGTTAAACACATTTTTACTCCTGATTTTATTTAGGCTTGCCATAAAAAGGGAGTTATTGACTCAAGACATTTCAGCTTTTCATTTTTAATTAATAAAAAAATAATCTAAAAACATCATTCCACTTTAACATTATGGGGGTATTGTGTGTAGGCCAGTGACACAAAATCTCACTTTAATCAATTTTACATTCAGGCTGTAACTCAACAAAATGTGTAAAAAGTCAAGGGGTGTGAATACTTTCTGAAGGCATTTTAGAATAATATTACTTTAGGTCTGTAACATGGAACTATAATTACACCTACTGTGTTTACTTAATGTTTTGCAGATTATTGATGGTTATCAAGGTATCCTCCAAGGATGGCTTTGCTGATTGAAGATAAATGACGATGCAACAGAAATGGAGAGGGCAACTGAAGGTATCAAGAATAATTGTAGGAGATGAAAGATACACTACCAGTCAAAAGTTTTAAAACACCTACTCATTCAAGGTTTTTTCTTTATTTGTACTATTTTTTACATTGCAGAATAATAGTGAAGATATTAAAACTATGAAATAACACATTTGGAATCATGTAGTAACCATAAAAGTGTTAAACAAATTAAAATATATTTTATATTTGAGATTCTTCTAATAGCCACCCTTTGCCTTGATGACAGCTTTGTACACTCTTGGCATTCTCTCAACCAGCTTCACCTGGAATGCTTTTCCAACAGTCTTGAAGGAGTTCCCACATATGCTGAGCACTTGTTGGCTGCTTTTCCTTCACTCTGCGGTCCGACTCATCCCAAACAATCTCAATTTGGTTGAGGTTGGGGGATTGTGGAGGCCAGGTCATCTGAGCAGCACTCCATCACTCTACTTCTTGGTAAAATAGCCCTTACACAGCCTGGAGGTGTGTTGGGTCATTGTCGTGTTGAAAAACAAATGATAGTCCCATTAAGCCCAAACCAGATGGGATGGCGTATCTCTGCAGAATTCTGTGGGAGCCATGCTTGTTAAGTGTGCCTTGAATTCTAAATAAATCACAGACAGTGTCACCAACAAAGCACCCCCACACCATAAGACCTCCTCCTCCATGCTTTACAGTGGGAAATACACATGTGGAGATCATCCGTTCACCCACACTGCATCTCACAAAGACACGGCGGTTGGAACCAAAAATCTCCAATGTCCATTGCTCGTGTTTCTTGGCCCAAGCAAGTCTCTTCTTATTATTGGTGTTCCTTTAGTAGTGGTTTCTTTGCAGCAATTTGACCATGAAAGCCTGATTCACACAGTCTCCATCTGAACAGTTGATGTTGAGATGTGTATGTTACTTAAACTCTGTAAAGCATTGATTTGGGCTGCAATTTCTGAGGCTGGTAACTCTAATGAACTTATCCTCTGCAGCAGAGGTAACTCTGGGTCTTCCATTTCTGTGGCGGTCATGAGAGCCAGTTTCATCATTTACATTTACATTTTAGTCATTTAGCAGACGCTCTTATCCAGAGCGACTTACAGGAGCAATTAGGGTTAAGTGCCTTGCTCAAGGGCACATCGACAGATTTTTCACCTAGTCGGCTCGGGGATTAGAACCAGCGACCTTTCGGTTACTGGCACAACGCTCTTAACCACTAAGCTACCTGCCGCCCATCATAGCACTTGATGGTTTTTGTGACTGCACTTGAAGAAACTTTCAAAGTTCTTGAAATTGTCCGTATTGACTGACCTTCATGTCTTAAAGTAATGATGGACTGTTGTTTCTCTCTGCTTATTTGAGCTGTTCTTGCCATAGTATGGACTTGGTCTTTTACCAAATAGGGCTATCTTCTGTACCCCCCACCCCCACACACACACCTTGTCACAACACAACTGATTTGCTCAAACGTATTAAAAATAAAATAAATTCCACAAATTAACTTTTAATAAGGCACACCTGTTAATTGAAATGCATTCCAGGTGACTACCTCATGAAGCTGGTTGAGAGAATGCCAAGAGTGTGCAAAGCTGTCATCAAGGCAAAGGGTGGCTATTTGAAGAATCTCAAATATAAAATATATTTTGATTTGTTTAACACTTTTTTGGTAACTACATGATTCCATATGTGTTATTTCATAGTTTGTTGTCTTCACTATTATTCTACAATGTAGAAAATAGTAAAAAATAAAGAAAAACCCTTGGAATGAGTAGGTGTTCTAAAACTTTTGACCGGTAGTGTAAATACATACATTTGTTCTTTTTTTGTACGTGAAATAAACATTTTGATTTAAATGACTGTATGAGAATGTTGAAGGAAATATAGATCGTGTGTGTACAACAAGCTTAATATTATTGTGTGTGAGCCAAATGCGTTTCCTTATTCTCAATGCCTTAATGCAGAAGTTACAAGCCAATTATTTTTCTTGTTTGTTGAACAATTATCCTCAACTGCCTGATGATGGCAGTGTTAGCTTGAGGTCGGAGAACATTGCTTCGGCCCTCTAAGTCGCTCTTTTCTTATATTATTGGTTGTCTACTGTTCAAATGTATTTTTGTATATCTATATACACCCCATCAAGAGTTACGTGTTTCAACATTTATGAGCTGATTAATACCAATTAAATAAACTTTTAACTCAATTGTAAATCAACTGCTTGTGAAATGATTATGGGGCATTATGGATCGCTGTGGTAGGGATCGGGTCAAACAGTGAACAATATAGTCTCTCTGTTTAGGAAGTAAATACTCTGGATATCCATTGGTTTACTAAAATAATGTAAATGTATTTGCGAATTTGTGCAAAATAGAATAAGGTTGACAGAGGTACATCTATGTCCTTGGGAACTCTTAATTCTTATAATAAACAGTTCGGTTAATTAAAATCTCAGCGTGATCATTATTAATTTCCAAATGACATGGCATTGTACAGTTAGTTATGTGTCACGGACCAAACTCTCTGAAGTGCTCTTAGTTGTGTTCACCAAGTATAATGTATCACTTACATAGACTTAAATTACACTCTCAAATCACATGTATTACAATATAAAGTACCACCACTAAAACTCAAACCAAGTCACTCCATCCACTTTGTCCCACCTTGGCCACTGTATGGACAGACAACCAGACAGAGGCACATGTAGAAGGTCACACATAATAAGAATGGTGAGGACAGATGGTCTATTTTAGTGAGCCACTCACATGAGGTCCAGAATCTATATATTAACCCACTTCCCATCCCTCCAGCCTCACAAAGACAACTAGTAATATTACAGTAGCTTTTTCTTCACCTGAAAGGTACGTTTCCAGTATTAATGTAACGCCTCAAAGGAGGAAAGTGTAAAATCTGATTATGGTAAAGATTTCAAAAAATTTTTTTTGACAGTATCTTGCTGTCAGTGTGAGTAGTCACCCCAACAAAGAGATGTCAAGTTGAAGTAATAAATACTGTGGCTTTGAAGTTTGTACACGTGATTTACGTGAGGCATGTTTTAGTTTGCCAACAATTTCTATAGCAAATTTTTGCTGAGCTTTATTGCATTTATTTCATGCTAAATTTCATGCTCATTTTATGAATTGGCGAACGACCAGAGAATTGTTATCCGTTATGTATGTTACCTATATTATTTTTGTGAGATATTACAGAAGATAGCTAACCAGTTTAGCTATTAGATCTCTGAACTCTATCTCTATTTGTGCGTACAGTTCATGCAGTCTAAAATCTTCAATACTAAAAAGGAGATCTCTTGGGAGAAGACCTTCCTAAATGAAGTTATATATCTTATATCTGCATTAAAGCATTACTTGATAATGCCCCAAATACTAAACACTAGTCAGATATGTTTCTAAATACTAAATTTAAAAAAAGAGTGAATTAAATAAAGACTAAATACTAGTCCGACAGATTTATTGTGTGTTAACGGTACTGACTTTCAACCATTCTTTTATTACTCCAAGGTCATGTAGTGTAGTCGTATCTTGTACGTTTTTATCACAGTTATTTGCAGTAGTTCTCAAGAAACAAGATTGTTTTTATTTGATAATCTGCTAGAATAGATTGGAATATCATAAAAATGAACAAAATGTATTGTTTTATGTATGTTTTATCTAAAATAGTTTAGCTATATTTCTGCATGCTGAAAACGGTCCATAATATAATAACATGTCTGTAATATGATGATGTAGTTTCGAAAACATATTTCAGTCTGTTGTAACTGTTTTACTTTTTTACATTGTGAAATATGTAGGAGACACACAGAACCGCGACCATGTCAGAAGCGTGAGTACCAACAGCTCATATTGCATTACATTGCTGTCAACATGTACTGTGCCCATGGAAAGTCTACACCCCCTTGAACCTTTTTCACATTTTGTTGCGTTACAAAGTGGGATTGAAATAGATTTAATTGTATTTTTTTTGTCATTGATCTACACAAAATACTCCATAATGTCAAAGTGAAAAGAAAATTATAATTATTTTTTACAAAGTAAAATAATATATATATATATATATATATATATATATATATATATATATAGTTGTTGCATAAGTATTCACCCCCTTAGTATAGGCAAGCCTAAATTAGTTCAGAAGTCAAATCTGGCTTAACAAATCACATAATAAGTTATATGGACTTACTCTGTGTGAAATAATATGGGTTGAGATGATTTTTTAATGACTACCCCTTACTCTGTCCCCCATACATACAGTACAACATCTGTGAACTATTGAATTTCAAGCACAGATTCAAATACAAAGACCAGGGAGCTTTTCGAAAACCCCATAAAGAAGGGCAGTGATTGGTAGATGGGTAACAATAACAAATCAGACATTGAGTATCTCTTTAAGCATGGTCAAAGATGCGTTCGTCCTTCTGAACTGAGCTGCAGGACAGGAATGAAACTGCTTCGGGATGTCACCATGAGGCCATTGGTCATTTTAAAACAGCTACAGAGTTCAATGGCTGTAATGGGAGAAAACTGAGGATAGAGCAACAACATTGTAGTGACTCCACAATAATGACCTAAATGACAGAGTGAAAAGAAGAATCGAAAATATACAGAATACAAGTATTCCAAAACAGTGCATTAGGAAAGTGTTCAGACCCCTTGACTTTTTCCATATTTTGTTAAGTTACAGCCTTATTCTAAAATGGATTTAAAAAACTAAATTCTCATCAAAACAGGTTTTTAGACATTTCAGAAAATATGTATATATAAAAGAAAACTGAAATATTACATTTACATAAGTACTTTGTTGAAGCACCTTTGGCAGTGATTACAGCCTTGATTCTTCTTGGGTCTGACGCTTCAAGCTTGACACACCTGTATTTGGGGAGTTTCTCCCATTCTTCTCTGCAGATCCTCTCAAGCTCTGTCAGGTTGGATGGGGAGTGTCGTTGCACAGCTATTTTCAGGTCTCTTCAGAGATGTTCGATCGGGTTCAAGTCCGGGCTCTGGCTGGGCCACACAAGGACATTCAGAGTCTTGTCCCGAAGCCACTCCTGCGTTGTCTTGGCTGTGTGCTTAGGGTCGTTTTCTTGCTGGAAGGTGAACCTTCACCCCAGTCTGTGGTCCTGAGCGCTCTGGAGCAGGTTTTCATCAAGGATCTCTCTGTACTTTGGTCCGTTCATCTTTCCCTCGATCCTGACTAGTCTCCCTGCCGCTGAAAAATATCCCCACAGCATGATGCTGCCACCACCATGCTTCACCATAGGGATGGTGGCAGGTTTCCTCCAGACGTGACACTTGGTATTCAGGCCAAAGAGTTCAATCTTGATTTCATCAGACTAGAGAATCTTGTTTCTCATGGTCTGAGTCCTTTAGGTGCCTTTTGGCAAACTCCAAGCGGGCTGTCATGTGCCTTTTACTGAGGAGTGGCTTCCGTCTGGCCACTCTACCATAAAGGCCTGATTGGTGGAGTGCTGCAGAGATGGTTGTCCTTCTGGAAGTTTCTCCCATCTCCACCGAGGAACTCTGGAGCTCTGTCAGAGTGACAATTGGATTCTTGGTCACCTCCCTGACCAAGGCCCTTCTTCCACGGTTGCTCAGTGTGGCCGGGCGGCCAGCTCTAGGAAGAGTCTTGGTGGTTCCAAACTTCTTCCATTTAAGAATGATGGAGGCCACTGTGTTCTTGGGGACCTTCAATGCTGCAGAACGTTTTATTACCCTTCCCCAGATCCTGTCTCGGAGCTCTACGGACAATTCCTTCGACCTCATGGCTTGGTTTTTGCTCTGACATGCACTGTCAACTGTGGGACCTTATATAGACAGGTGTGACCCTTTCCAAATCATGTCCAATCAATTGAATTTACCACAGGTGGACTCCATTCAAGTTGTAGAAACATCTCAAGGTGGATCAATGGAAACAGGATGCACCTGAGCTCAATTTTGAGTCTCATAGCAAAGGGTCTGAATACTTATGTAAATAATGTATTTCTGTCTTTAAGTTGCAAACATTTCTAAATATCTGTTTTTGCTTCATCCTTATGGGGTATTGTGCGTAGATAGAATAAGGCTGTAATGTAACAAAATATGGAAAAAGGGAAGGGGTCTGAATACTTTTCAAATGCACTGTATGTATGCAATAAGGCACTAAAGTAATACTGCAAAAAAACACGGCAAAGGAATACACTTTTTGGCCTAAATGCAAAGCCTTATGTTTGGGGCAAATTCAACACAACACATTACTGAATAACTGCCTCCTTATTTTCAAGCATGGTGGTGGCTGCATCATGGTATGGGTGTGCTTGACACTGGAAAATACTGGGGATGAAAAGAAATTGGATGGATAACAGGCAAAATCCTAGAGGAAAATCTGCTTCAGTATGCTTTACACCAGACACTGGGAGAGGAATTCACCTTTCCGCAGGACAATAACCTACAACAGAAAGCCAAATATACACTGGAGTTGCTTACCAAGAAGACAGTGAATTGACTTGAGAAGCCCAGTTTTGACTTAAATCTGCTTGAAAATCTATGGCAAGACTTGAAAATTGCTGTCTAGCCATAATCCCAACACCTTGACAGAGCTTGAAAAATTCTGAAAACAATAATGGGCAAATATTGCACAATATAGGTTTGCAAAGCTCTTATGAGACATACCCAAGAAGACTCATAGCTGTAATCACTACCAAAGGTGTTTCTAACATGCATTGACTCAGGGGGGTGAATACTTATCTAATCAAGGTGTTTTATTTTTCATTAGTCTTTCAAAAATGTTAGAATTTTTCTTCCACTTTGACATTACAGAGTATTTTGTGTAGATCGTTTACAAAACAAATGACAATTAAATCCCTTTTAATCCCACTTTTTAACACAATAAAATCTGAAAAACATCCAAGGCGGGTGCAGACTTTTTATGGGTCCTGTAGTAAACAATATGCAAAGAACACAAATGTGACAATCTTCTTATTTTGGGTTTTTGTTTCTTTCTCTCCAATTGGCTGATGTTGGTCCAGGCCGGTAAGTGAATTTTCATATTCAAACCAGAACAAATGTGCAGAAATGAACACTGCCCGTACACTATGATCATTATGACAGGCATTATCAACATTTACATTTTAGTAATTTAGCAGACACTCTTATCTGAGGCTTCTTCTTACAGGCTATGGTGTGAGAAAACTGTGCAGACACTATGATCTGAGCTATCTGATTGGCCAGCGGTAGGCCTGTAAGTGCACTTGATTTGCTCTCTGGGCCTGCCGATTAGGCGGACTTCTAGCTTCAGACACATGAAATGGTTCCAAATGGGAACACTTCGCCTTCCCAGTGCTAGGGCTGCTGAATCATGTGCACCAACCGCCAACAGCGCAAAACAAATAAAAAAATAGGAACGCAAGGCTTTATCGTTGAGTTTTTTACAGAAATGTTTGGTGATCGACTAGGAATGCCTTGGAGATCGACCAGTCGGTCACCACTGTTGTAGAGCATGAACCTGCAGGAGCGAGTCACTGCTTTGACGTTTGCAGAGAATGACAGGGTGTTGTCCAGGGTCACGCCAAGGTTCTTTACACTCTGGGAGGGGGACACCGTGGAGTTGTCAACCGTGATGGAGAGGTATTGGAGCGGGCAGGCCTTCCCGGGGAGGAAGAGCAGCTCTGTTTTGTCTATGGTTGAGCTTGAGGTGGTGGGCAGACATCCAAGCTGAGATGTCTGTCAGAAGGGGGGAAGGAGAAAGGTAGTTGAGTGTCATCCACATAGCAATGATAGGAGAGACCACGTGAGGATACGACTTGATGTTAAGAGAAAAGAGGAGAGGGCCTATAACTGAGCCCTGGGGGACACCAGTAACATGGTGCAGACGCATATCCTCTCCACGTCACCTGGTAGGAGTGACATGCCAGGTAGGATGCAATCCAGGAGTGTGTAGAACCTGAGACGCCCAACCCTGAGAGGGTGGAGAGGAGGATCTGATGGTTCACGGTGTCAAAGGCAGTGGATAGATCTAGGAGGAGGAGAACAGGAGTAACGAGGAGAGAGAGTCAGCTTTGGCAGTGCGGAGAGCCTCTGTGACACAAAGGAGAGCGTTCTCAGTTGAGTGAGCCGCCTTGAAGCCTGACTGGTTAGGGTCAAGAGGATCGTTCAGAGAGAGGTAACGAGAGAGTTGTTCAGATACAGCAGGCTCAAGTGTTTTGGAAATAAAAGAAAGAAGGGATACCGGTCTGTCATGTCAATCACAATAATTTATGCCTAGAAGGAGCAGTTGCAACATAGCGTGAAATTCAGGATATTTTATGTTCTGGATTTCTGGACTTTTGATCAAATCAATCAAATGTATTTTATAAAGCCATTGTTACATCAGCTAATTTGAGGCAGCAACAGTACAAATACAAACATTTCAAGTGTACTGTCCATAAAAGCCAATTAATAATTTAACATGAAAATATTGATCATGTATATTATCGTTTACTCTGTGTTTAGCAATGAGCTTAAGATATCTTCTCTGTCCTCATTTCAGCCAAAACCAAAGTCAAAGATCTCTGCATCTCGCAGACTCTTCTTGAAGGTAGCTTTTGTGTCTTACTTCACTGTTATTGGCACAGTCACAACTAAACAACACTTCTCCATAATGTGTGTGAGTTGTGATTTGTGGATAACGCATACATAGATACACTACTGGTCAAAAGTTTTAGAACACCTACTTTATTTTTTACTATTTTCTACATTGTAGAATAATAATGAAGACATCAAAACTATGAAATAACACATATGGAATCATGTAGTAACCAAAAAAGTGTTAAACAAATCTAAATATATTTTATATTTGAGATTCTTCTAATAGCCACCCTTTGCCTTGATGACAGCTTTGCACACTCTTGGCATTCTCTCAACCAGCTTTACCTGGAATGCTTTTCCAACATTCTTGAAGGAGTTCCCACATCTGCTGAGCACTTGCTGACTGCTTTTCCTTCACTCTGCGGTCCGACTCATCCCAAACCATCTCAATTTGGTTGAGGTTGGGGGATTGTGGAGGCCAGGTCATCTGATGCAGTACTCCATCACTCTCCTTCTTGGTAAAATAGCCCTTACACAGCCTGGAGGTGTGTTGGGTCTTTGTCGTGTTGAAAAACAAATGATAGGCCCACTAAGCCCAAACCAGATGGGATGGCGTATTGCTGCAGAATGCTGTGGTAGCCATGCTGGTTAAGTGTGCCTTGAATTCTAAATAAATGACAGACAGTGTCACCAGCAAAGCACCCCCACACCATAACACCTCCTCCTCCATGCTTTACAGTGGGAAATACACATGTGGAGATAATCCGTTCACCCACACTGCATCTCACAAAGACACGGCGGTTGGAACCAAAAATCTCCAATTTGGACTCCAGACCAAAGGACACATTTCCACCTGTCAAATGTCCATTGCTCGTGTTTCTTGGCCCAAGCAAGTCTCTTCTTATTATTGGTGTCCTTAATTAGTGGTTTCTTTGCAGCAATTCGACCATGATGGCCTGATTCACACAGTCTCCTCTGAATTATGTAGAAAATAGTAAAAATAAAGAAAAACCCTTGAATGAGTAGGTGTTCTAAAACCTTTGACCTGTAGTGTATATAAAACATAATAGCAGTTACACTACTATTACACTGCTAAACATAATAGTATAAGGGTGTTCTACATGTAATTATATGGTGTTGTATCCCAGACCAAACTGGTGAAGAAGGCAATGGCTATGTTGGTGGCTGAAAAGGAGCAGAAGGTGATTGACAGAGAAACCACACTGAGTGAACGAGTCCCAGCACTCAAGATATCTGGGCTGTCTGTGCAGGACCTGCAGGTACTATTAATATTAGTTAGATACATGACTATGAGTATATTCATGTATATTCAGGTACAGTACTGTGAGTATAGTCATGTATATTCAGGTACAGTACTATGAGTATATTCATGTATATTCAGGTACAGTACTATGAGTATAGTCATGTATATTCAGGTACAGTACTATGAGTATATTCATGTATATTCAGGTACAGTACTATGAGTATATTCATGTATATTCAGGTACAGTACTATGAGTATAGTCATGTATATTCAGGTACAGTACTATGAGTATATTCATGTATATTCAGGTACAGTACTATGAGTATAGTCATGTATATTCAGGTACAGTACTATGAGTATATTCATGTATATTCAGGTACAGTACTATGAGTATATTCATGTATATTCAGGTACAGTACTATGAGTATATTCATGTATATTCAGGTACAGTACTATGAGTATATTCATGTATATTCAGGTACAGTACTGTGAGTATAGTCATGTATATTCAGGTACAGTACTATGAGTATATTCATGTATATTCAGGTACAGTACTATGAGTATAGTCATGTATATTCAGGTACAGTACTATGAGTATAGTCATGTATATTCAGGTACAGTACTATGAGTATAGTCATGTATATTCAGGTACAGTACTATGAGTATAGTCATGTATATTCAGGTACAGTACTATGAGTATAGTCATGTATATTCAGGTACAGTACTATGAGTATAGTCATGTATATTCAGGTACAGTACTATGAGTATAGTCATGTATATTCAGGTACAGTACTATGAGTATATTCATGTATATTCAGGTACAGTACTATGAGTATAGTCATGTATATTCAGGTACAGTACTATGAGTATATTCATGTATATTCAGGTACAGTACTATGAGTATATTAATGTATATTCAGGTACAGTACTATGAGTATGAGTATATTTAGGTATGTTCAGGTATATTTAGGTAAAGGTGTCGGATCTTAATTTGACCAGTTTCATCGCAGGAGTAAAAGAATCCTGCAGCAGCAAGTTTTGATTATTCTCAAAAAAAGTAATAATTTCGAACAGGAAATTAGTTTTGATAGGACCTACAGTAGTAGGACATTTATTTGGTCTGGTGCTTTAGCGTTTGAGCGAGCAAGAGAGAAGGAGAACTGCACATTTTCAGTGAATTTATGTAAATCATGTGGCTCAGTAAAATTCTCTGCGTCAACAGAGTGATCAGAATTACCAAATATGTAGGTTGCTATGAGTATGAATACAGTATAGTTAGTTATATTCAGGAAAAGTACTATGAATATGAGTTTATTAGTATATTTAGGTATATTCAGGTACATTAGTCTGAGTTAAGTACATTCTGTATATTCTGAAATATTCAGATACTATGGGTATGAGTACGGTATATTCAGATATGAATCTGCTTTCTCTTCACAGAATCTTTGTAAAGAACTGCACCAGAAAATTGATGTTGTTGATGAAGAGCGGTACGACATCGCGATGAAAGTTTCCAAAAGTGACGCAGAGGTACCCGATCCGCAGATTCTCAAATTCAAATATTACAAACAGTTAATTTCACAGTATGATCTTTAAATGCACACTCTATCCAAGTATGGGATATTTTATTAAGAATAATAGTATATAATAAACCTTTGTTCAGGTCGATATTGTAAAATAATGTGTTACCATAAACGCAACATATGCATTTATTTTTTACAATAACATTTCAATCAAATCAATGTACAGACAGCAAAGTTTGAAATATGTTCTACCCTCTTGTGGCTTTGTGTCAGTGACTCTTTTCACAGAGTGACATTTTAATCGCAGAGTGAATATTTGTGTTTGTATGTGGGACTTTTATTTAGAAATCGAGACTTTTATTTTTTGACACCTTGCTATGTGGGCGATATAGATTGAAAATCTGACCATGAAGATCATTGAGCTGAAGGGCAAGAAGCGACCTCAGCTGAAGAGGGTGAGAGTATCAGCTGAAGCCATGATGGGGGCTCTGCTGGGAGCCAAGATCAAAGAGTCGGTCGACTTCAAGGCCAACCTCAAGACTGTCAAGAAGGAGGAGGAGAAGGTAAGGGAGACATTCACTGCACAGTACAGCCTGTCCCAATACTTTCTTTCTTTGCTTATTTTTTTGTAATGTGCACTTGCAATATAACTGGGTGTGCAGTACTTCTGAACTGGTTTCACTGTGTTGTCATCCCCCACAGAAAGAGGAAGTGACTGACTGGCGTAAGAATGTGGATGCCATGTCTGGCATGGAGGGTAGAAAGAAGATGTTTGCCGCTTCCTAAATAGTCATGGGTAGAATGATGAAATCATATGACTTCTCAGTGTTTAACTTACATTATGACAGTCAAGGAACAAAGGTAGTTTGCATAGTTTTAATGTAGCTACGGAGTCTCTTGCATTGTTATTTGTTTTGTGTGTGTATGCAAATCCCATTTATATCATATGATAATTATAGTCACTCAATGGAAAATGATGTATTATGTGTATGTAATATGTTATGGAATGTTTCCATAACATATTTAACATTCCATAACATATTACATAAAAATAATACATTATTTTCCACATATTATGGTATGTATAAATAAAATGTTGGATGTTAGAAGTTATCCAAATATGATTTTGTTACTGACAATAAAGCACTTGTGTTATCATTGTCACTTGTATGGTCAACAGTCAGCTGCACACAGTTTATTCCACACTGTGTGTGTGTGTGTGTGTGTGTGTGTGTGTGTGTGTGTGTGTTTGCGTGTGCGTGTGCGTGTGCGTGTGTGTGTGTGTTTGCGTGTGTGTGTTTGCGTGTGCGTGTGTGTGTGTGTGTGTATGCGTTTGTACATTCATGCGTGCGTGTTCGGATCAATCATAGTTCATACTGTAGTTTTTTCCAAGCAAAACATTGACATAGCAGATACTTTACTCTAGCCACGTTCAGTGACTGTTACAATGTAGCTAGAATCTGTCATGCCACGCCTTCTTCCCCCGTGATGACGGTTCCAGAGAGCCCTTTTCGTTCATCCGTCTATATATGGGCAGCACACATGACTCAAAATCCCGCCCTAACGTGAGCTTTGCCGTTTCGATTCGACCACAAGCTTTCAATTCTGTAAACGCTCTCGATGGTGATCCACATTTCTGTCAACAGTCACGACTTCACGACAATTGGGACGGTCTTGTAACTCGCAGGGTAAGATAGTATCCATGCTATTATTATGATGCATTTTTCGTTACATTGATGTTTTGTAGCGCATTTTGTAGCTTGCCGTCTTGCAGTCTCGCGCGTAAACGCATGCCCACTTGCAGCCTACCAATGACATGACATGAGTGCGAAAGGCGACCCAGCTGCTGCTTTCTACCGTTTCACTGTTGATACTATGTAAAAGGTATTAATTAGGGAATGTGTAATAGACACATTTCCATGTTTAGTTTCTGAATTGCCCTGTTTAATTTGGGGTTGAACACAACCCGTTGTGTTGTGTTGGCATGTAGCCTTTTAGCCACTCGAAATGCCTGACCTTTACTGACCCACTAGACCGATTCCTAACCCTCTCAGCCACAGAATAAATGACATGGCTACTGCTTCTGTCATCAAGCTTAGTAACAGCAGAGTTACATAGTAACAGTAAAATAGCCTATAGCAAGGGAAGTTGTGTAGACTGACTACATGTAGCTAATCATAGACAGCACCACTGGACTATTGCTGGATATTTAGGTGATGAAACTCATCAAGTAGCTTATTCAAGAGATTTGTTGAATGATGTTTGTTTCACTTCTGTGTTAAGTGTCTGGCCACAGTACAGTAAAGTACAATACTGTATGTGACTGCACCAGGCCAGCACCACACTCATCTAGTTACTGTAAACCCTTTGTTTGTGTACAGTACAGGGTCCTGCTGCCAGACAGTCCTTCCGGATGTCCAAGTACAAAGTCTTTGTGATGAGGCATGGAGAAGGGGCCTGGACCAAAGAGAACCGCTTCTGCAGCTGGGTGGACCAGAGGCTGAGCGAGGACGGGGTCAAGGAGGCCCTGGCGTGTGGTCACCTCCTGAGGGAAGCAGGCTACCACCTGGATGTAGTATTCACCTCCCTGCTCAGCCGATCCATCCACACAGCCTGGCTGTTGTTGGAAGCCATGGGGCAGGAGTGGGTCCCCGTGGTCAGGTCGTGGAGACTCAACGAGCGCCATTACGGTGCCCTGATCGGGCTGAATAGAGCTCAGATGGCCCTAAACCACGGCGAGGAGCTGGTGAAACAGTGGAGGAGGAGCTATGACCTCACGCCGCCCCCTATCGACGAATCACACCCTTACTTCCTGGAGATCTACAACGACCGGCGGTATTCTACCTGTGACGTGTCTAAAGAGGATCTTCCGAAGTCAGAGAGCCTGAAGGATGTCTTAGAGAGGCTCCAGCCGTACTGGGATGGCACCATTGTGCCGGAGATCAAACAGGGGAAATCGGTGCTCATCTCTGGGCATGGGAATAGCTGCAGGGCCCTGCTGAAACACCTGGAAGGTATGCCTGGTGGCTGCTCACTGGTGTGTGTGTGTGTGTGTGCGTGTGACTTTTGCTGCATTGCTATTGTTCTCTTTTGTTCATGCAGATTTTAGTATGAGCTGCATGGCCACTTTCACTTGCATTTGAATGTTTGAATCACCAAAGGCCCTTGTATGGGAGTTTGCTAGGCCCTCCATGCTTTAGACCTAGCTCGTAACTATCATTCACTCCCATTTGGATGAGAGCAATATACTGAATATTACTTCCAGAAATGGCACACGGTTGAACTTGTACAAAAAGGCCACTAGGTTTATGTTACATCAGGCTACTGCCATGAAATCCATATTGACCTTTTATCTTCTCCACAGGCTTATAGAGACGTCGTTTTGTCGTAGCTGGCCGCCCAGTTACTTTATAGGCCGTTATGTAATAGGGATATTATAAATTATCGATGTTATGCAGCTGGAAGAAACTTAGCGACTGTGTAAAGATGATCTACATATAGACATGCACTAGTCTGGTATACATAATAAAGTTATTCCCTTATCTGTGTATTTTGATTTGGTTTTAATTGGTAATTGAGCGCTTTGATAAGCTTACTTCAGACAGCCCATGTACAGAAATCAGAAATGTTGCTGGCGCTTTACATAACAGCATGGGATAAAGCTGTACTAACGGTTCTATTATGTTTATGGTGATAGTGTAATAGTATGGTTGTTTGCTTATTGTGGTCCACAGAAGCAGAACACTACAACATTCAATATTATCTCTATTATATCAACAGGTATATCAGATGCTGATATCGTCAACGTGACGTTACCGACTGGGACACCCATTCTGATTGAGCTGGATGAGAACTTCCGGCCCACCAAACCCATGCAGCTCCTGGGAGACCAGGAAGCCATCCAGGCAGCCATCAGGAAGGTGGAGGACCAGGGTAAGGTTAAACAAACGACCTGAATATAGTCAACCGGATTCTAGTCATTCTAGATTCTGAATTGTAGAATCTAGTCAACTGGATGCTAGTTTTTCTGGATTGTAAAATATAGTCAACTGGATTCTAGTCATTCTAAATTCTGGATTGTAGAATCTAGTCAACTGGATTCTAGTCATTTTAGATTCAGGATTTTAGAATCTAGTCAACTGGATTCTAGTCATTCTAGGTTCTGGATTGTAGAATCTAGTCAACTGGATTCTAGTCATTCTAGATTCTGAATTCTAGAATCTAGTCAACTGGATTCTAGTCATTCTAGATTCTGAATTCTAGAATCTAGTCAACTGGGATTCTAGTAATTCTGGATTCTAGTCATTCTAGATTCTGGATTGTAGAATCTAGTCAACTGGATTCTAGATTCTGGATTGTAGAATTTAGTCAACTCGATTGTTGTCATTCTGGATTGTAGAATCTAGTCAACCGGATTCTGGATTGTAGAATTTAGTCAACTCGATTCTAGTCATTCTGGATTGTAGAATCTAGCCAACTGGATTCTAGTCATTCTGGATTGTAGAATCTAGGCAACTGGATTCTAGTCATTCTACATTATGGGATTCTAGAATCTACAGTAGTCAATCTATGGTAGTCAATTGGCTATAATACTTGCCTACTATGAAGATCCCCAGGCCAGCATTTATAGTTGCCTAATATAAAACATTTTAATCAGATGCACTCAAAACTGGATTCTTGATTTGAAGTCTTACAGTAAAATGATGGTATGGACTGGACCCTATTTGGTGCAACGTGGAAACAAAAGAAGATAGTTCATACAGAAACTGAATTGTCTTCCTTCTTAGTGCTGTGCTTACAGGAGTTTCACTTCTAATGTTTGCCAATATAACTCTCTCAAAGTTATTATTAACAAGCATAGATCTGGTAAAAGTTCTAATTAACAAGATAATAGGCTGACCCTTGTATTGAGGTTCTTTGGAATTGAATACATACTAAGATGTGTAACCACGTGTCCCCAACAAAACTATTTTTTGAAAGATCTGTCGCACGTGCCTTCATTGCCAATATTTGTAATTTCTGTATGACTTTTGCAATGCCAATTAAGCTTGTTTTTACAGTTGAATTATGACAGAATCGAGCAGGAGAGAATGAGCCAGCACTAACTAGTACAAGCTATTTTATTTATCAAAAAACTCTTTAAAGGCACTTCATAACAAGTATTACCTCAGTGAGACCAGCCTGGCTATTCTTTCCAAGACAGGGCGGTGATTGTGTGAAGCTTTTTCTTAGTACAGAAATACTGTAAATGTGTTGTTGAAACAGATAGGTCAAACTTGATAAGAGCATGTCTTCCAGTGGAGGCTGCTGAGGGGAGGACGGCTCATAATACTGGCTGGAACGATGCGGATGGAATGGCATCAAACACATGGAAACCATAGAAACCATAGAAACCATAGAAACCATTTGTTTAATGTATTTGATACCATTCCACCTATTCCGCTCCAGCCATTACCACGAGCCCATCCTCCCCAATAGGTACCACCAACCTCCTGTGATGTCTTCTTATAGGCTACATGCTAGTTTGAGAGACGTTCATATGAAATAACTGTTGCGCTTATTCATAAAATACCTAAATTGACATGCTGTAATAAAGTCTGATTAATGATTTGCGGTATTATTTAGCATAAAAGCTTCTCTTATTTCCATTTTTACTGTTCAAAGGTATATATCCCCAATCATACCTTTCCTCTCTACCCCCACTTGTCATTGTAATGTTTAGTGATTATTTTATTTCATTTTGTAACGATAAACAAAAACATTTGAGTCCAAGTGTTACCTTAAGACTATTCTTAACACAGGTGAAGTTATAGTTTAGGTTATGATCTACACTGTGTGAACACCCACTGCATTTGCAATTGAATACATTGCTACTAAAGATGTTTTAGATTGCACCTTGTGGGGATACTACTGTTAATAGATCCACCAGTAGTGACTTGTTTTTCAAATGAAGAATGATTGACTGATGCACTTGTTTAGACAAATCCCCTTCTCCACTTTTAAATCATAATATTTATTTTCTTGTGGAACTTAATATATTACATTTCAGAGGTTGATGGTAACAAAATGATTGTGAATTGATAACCAAACAACAACCACTTGTAGTGATTGTAACATATTTTTATGCACTGTTAATGTAGGGAAAATGATTCACTCCTTACATGAGTGTTGCACTGTATGTTACAAGCTTGCTATTTTTTACACAGGAAAGATGTATGTATGTGTTTGTGGTGTGCCTCATTTTTTTTTTATTGTTCGTCTGAGTCTGTCGAATATGTTTTTTGTGCTCTCTCCATCTGTGTCATAATAACCACCATCTTTGGTCATGAAGGAAATGCTGACTAATATCATTAGTTAAGCCCTGAAACCGTAAACGTGTAAATATATCGATACTAGAATACTGTAGTCATGTCCTGCAAAATTGTTGTAATGTAATGCGTTATACCCACAGTCATCCTAAATGTTGATAATATGATGGTGATGATAGGAAGTATTGGACTCAGTTTGAAAACTTGACTTTTGACGGTGGAAATTGAATAAAAAGGGAACTAAAAAAATGTCCCACTCAGTAATGATATAACTGTTGTCTCAGATTGCTTTTTTTCTGTGGTAATAATGCCAAAGATGTTTCAAGGATGTGAAAGTATGGTAATGTAGAGTAGGGTAGTGTACAGTAATGTCAGAATATGTATTTTCTTGTGGAACTTAAGTGTACAGTAGGGTAGGTTAGTGTATTATGATGAAAATGTTCCTTGAAGAAAATGTCTGTGTCCTTCCAGTTGGAGGAGCTACAGTTTTTCCTAATGAATCATGATACAGTCAAGGGAGCTGCAATGAGCATAGCCCAGACAAATGAATCTCATTGTCAGGGTAACCACGGACGGATACAGGCGGGAGCTGCCATGCATTTCTACCCTGTTTTAGTTATGTGCCCTGAAGGAGTGGATGAAGGAGATGAAGGGACTATGCCAGAGACCATCACTCTGGGTGTAAACACTGTAAACACTGTAGCTTGATTAGGCTTGCCTGTTGCAATGGAACCAATAGAAAAGTCCCAAAAGTGCAAAACCCACCCACCTTGCACTCCAGAAAGGCTAAAGCAAGATTTCAAATGGTATTTGAACCAAGGTCTGTTTAGATTATAGCGCTTTGGGACGGGTGTAGACGTACAGTTGAAGTCGGAAGATTACATACACTTAGGTTGGAGTCATTAAAACTCGTTTTTCAACCACTCCACACATTTCTTGTTAACAAACTATAGTTTTGGCAAGTCGGTTAGGACATCTACTTTGTGCATGCCACAAGTAATTTTTCCAACAATTGTTTACAGACAGATTATTTCACTTATAATTCACTGTATCACAATTCCAGTGGGTCAGAAGTTTACTAAGTTGACTGTGCCTTTAAACAGCTTGGAAAATTCCAGAAAATGATGTCATGGCTTTAGAAGCTTCTGATAGGCTAATTGACATCATTTGAGTCAATTGTAGGTGTACCTGTGGATGTATTTCAAGGACTACCTTCAAACTCAGTGCCTGTTTGCATAACATCATGGGAAAATCAAACGAAAAGGCCGCTCAGCAAGGAAGAAGCCACTGCTCCAAAACCGCCATAAAAAAGCCAGACTACGGTTTGCAACTGCACATGGGGACAAAGATCGTACTTTTTGGAGCAATGTCCTCTGGTCTGATGAAACAAAAATAGAACTGTTTGGCCATAATGACCATCGTTATGTTTGGAGGAAAAAAGGGGTTGCTTGCAAGCCGAAGAACACCATCCCAACCGTGAAGCACGGGGTGGCAGCATCATGCTGTGGGGGTGCTTTGCTGCGGGAGGGACAGGTGCACTTCACAAAATAGATGGCATCATGAGGAAGGAAAATGTGATAAAATAAATAAAAGCTGAAATAAATCATTCTCTCTGCTATTATTCTGACATTTCACATTCTTAAAATAAAGTGGTGATCCTAACTTAGAAGGATTACTTTATCCTATCCCAGGTATTCCTTAAAGAGGTGGGGTTTCAAATGTCTCCGGAAGGAGGTGAGTGACTCCGCTGTCCTGGCGTCGTGAGGGAGCTCGTTCCACCATTGGGGTGCCAGAGCAGCGAACAGTTTTGACTGGGCTGAGCGGGAACTGTGCTTCAGCAGAGGTAGGGGAGCCAGCAGGCCAGAGGTGGATGAACGCAATGCCCTCGTTTGGGTGTAGGGACTGATCAGAGCCTGAAGGTACGGAGGTGCCGTTCCCCTCACAGCTCCGTAGGCAAGCACCATGGTCTTTTAGCAGATGCAAGCTTCAACTAGAAGCCAGTGGAGTGTGCGGAGGAGCGGGGTGACGTGAGAGAACTTGGGAAGGTTGAACACCAGACGGGCTGCGGTATTCTGGATGAGTTGTAGGGGTTTAATGGCACAGGCAGGGAGCCCAGCCAACAGCGAGTTGCAGTAATCCAGACGGGAGATGACAAGTGCCTGGATTAGGACCTGTGCCGCTTCCTGTGTAAGGCAGGGTCGTACTCTCCGAATGTTGTAGAGCATGAACCTACAGGATCGGGTCACCGCCTTGATGTTAGCGGAGAACGACAGGGTGTTGTCCAGGGTATAAATGCAGGATATCCATAGGCAGGTAATTTATCTCACAGTCAAAGGAATCGTTAGTCTTTTCCAGCAATCACCACTTTACTTTGTATTTATTGACCTCCAAATAGCTGCCATTATGGTATGGAAAGTTATTAGCCTCAGTAATACTCTAACCCTGGTTACGGCCCTGATAGTAATAAACTATTTATTAGCCTCACTAATGCTCAAACCCTGGTTACGGCCCTGATAGTAATAAACTATTTATTAGCCTCACTAATGCTCAAACCCTGGTTACAGCCCTGATAGTAAAAAATTAGTTATTAGTCTACACACATCTTTATTAAAAGCCCTGATGTGTTACCCAATGCTCTTCGAGTTAGGTTTACTCTGAAGGATGGTCTCCCACCAATCGTCTACCTTCAACAGTTTAAAGGGAGAATCAGACATTTCCACCTGGACTACATCATGGATCCCCTCTCTTGTTTTTGCAGGTGTGGAATCAGCCAGAATTATAGGATTGTTTTCATTGCTCTGTCACATTTTTGTACATTTAACATATTTTGCCAAACCTGCTACAGTATATGGCAGCTATAGCTCCAAGACTGATGGGATAGTGGCAACTTTCTTTACAAGTAGTTGTTG